TGAGCTCAGTTTTAATGACCTGTATTTTGTAACTTGGGCAGCAGCTGCAAATAACAGAGCTAGAGGACACATGACAGGATAACATGACACCAAGACCAGCTGAAATTGAGGCAGCTGTCCCTGAGGAACCATCTGTTTTCCCCTCCCTTGGCAAGTGCAATGCCACGGTTTGGGGCTGATGACTCAGCCCAGGACTTTAAAACCCATTTTCATTCTTGTTTGTGAATGTTACTGGAAATTGCAGGTCAACAGTGGCTCCAGCCAGTTAACCCTCTCAAGTACCCGTCTACATCCAGGTTTCTTCCCCGGCTCTGACTTGTGATCTCTCCCTGAGCAGAAATCTGCCCTGTGGGAGGAGCAGAGCTGGAAGGAGTAGAACAGAATTTCGGGGAGTAACACTTCTGAAACCACCTGCCAGCACCTTCAGAAGTCCTGTTTATGCACCTTTTGGACATAGTAACTGCAATTTTCCTGTTTAGGAAACAGAGCTGCAGGTGAATTAAAATTCCTTGACTGACCTTTTTTTTTTTTTTTTTTGCGCTGTCTCCAAATCATTAGTAATCTCTACCATTAAATGCTTCATGCCTGTCTTCAGACAGCCTGGGTTGCCAAGTGCATCAGAGCTGGATATCATCACCACAGAGGATACAGCTTTTCTCTTGAACCCTCAGGCAGTGCAGGGAGGCTTACAGCAGTCGTGCTCTGCAGTCCCCTGCACCAGATGTATGATATCCACATCCATATATATAGGCAGAGGTCTATAGTATTTATAGGCATCTACCACCATGTGTGAGCAAATCTGGAGACTGTCCTTTCTTCTCCCTCTTCTCCCTGCACTCCTCATCATCCATAGCTCCTTAAACTGCTGCTGATGCACAGTAGCTAGTGTCTTCTTTCTTACGTGTTTTGTCTGCTTTAGTGAGTGACACAGGTCTGCTCCTTGCTGTGTCCACATAAGGCAGCTGTCAGAACTAGGGTGAAGACTTACAGGATTCCTCCTACCTGTGTTATCAAAGATATTCCCACCACCTCACCTGGTGCCTGAGCGCACTCCATTTGGCCCTTGTCCTCAGCAAGTCTTCTGCCTACCAAACACAACCACAGCACCAAGCACTCAGATCCTGGTAGGTGCTTCTGTCCAAGTTCCTAAGATACCAGACAGTGTTGCAGATTTTCATGCAGTTTGAAGTTATGCAACAAAACCTAGGTGAACTGTACTATTTCAGATAGATTCAATCAATTTCAGATAGATAAATCTTCACCTTGAAGATTTATCTAATACTGAGGAAAGGATTACTTGGCAGCTCCAAGGTTGGAGAAAGCTGGGTGGAAGTTAGGAAAATATATTAATTTGGCAGATTTTGAGCAGCATAACCTTCAGGCACAATAGAACACCATATAGATGACAGAAAAGAAATAGATAAGGATGAAAAAACTTCTCTTTTATTTTTAATTTAAAGGGTCCTTTGAAGGCAACTTAACCGTTCCTTTGTCATACTCTGCTTATTTTATTTGGCATCTGCTGTCCATTCATCTTCAGTTCAAGCTTTATCCTCAATAACTTCATTTCCCTGTGTATTTATTTATTTATTTATTTATTACTTCTAAGCAGCAAAGCATGACAACCTTGAGATAAAACTGAACCTCCTTGTCTCATGAACATTTTCAGCTAAAGATTTTGGAAAAAATGAGTTCTTAATACTTTTTTAGCATTTAAAAATAAAATTAAATAACTTACCAAGGGAGTCCAATTTGTAGCTTGAAATTAAGTTAGAAAATTAAAAGCCACTTTTTTGATTATATATTCAGCTAGTTTAAACTGCTCTATCAGAGTCATATGATAATTAACAGGAGCTGAAAACCTCTGTTTCCACATAAAACCATATAATGCTGATAGCTGAAGTTTTAGACTTACTGTTTCATTCGCTAAAAACACATGCATATGTACATACGTACACAAAAAATGTGACTATTTCAAAAGAATAAGTTCATGCCTCTGTAGCGTTAGCATATTCTAACAAAACGTATCTATCCCAGGAATTAAGAACATTGACTCCTATGACTGGATTTTTACAAAATACTGTTGGGATGAGTGGCCCATTATTTTAAAGACTAAAATAACTTAGTACAGTGTTCAAAAATGAACATTTCAAAGTCCTCTGCAAGTGTGGGCCTTTTTAGCTTTGGAATTTGCAGCATTCAGAATATAAGGATGCTCAGAAGCTCCCTGCAGTTTCCCACACAGGGGGAGATTAAGACTGCACTTCTGACACTTGTTAGTTTATTTAAAATTCCTAGAGTCCCATTATTACATGGCCATCTTAGGCTTCCTTGCTTTTTTTGGTTTTCGTAATTATTGATACCTTTGGTTCTTAAGTGAGCATATCCAAACCTACTTGCAAAATATTTATTTCTGTTAGACTGCTTACCCAAATAAGCTTCTCCCCACCTGTGTCTCATAGGAGGCAAGGCACAATAAATGGAGTCTGTGTGTCCTTCCTGAAGTCAGTGACAGATGGCAGCAATGGATCCCTTTCTGTACTGCTGTGCTTGAATGGCTCATGAAACCCAAGAACAACAAGAGAAACCCGAGCCATGAGCTTTCTGGATGAGTAGGACAGATACTGCTCTGTGGCAAATGGCTTTCCAGCTAAGTGGAAGCTGCTGGGGGAATACTTTGTTTTCCCAACAGATGGATCAATTTCTTTTTTTTTTAATTTTTTTTTTTTGTCTGAAGGTACAGAAACTTGCTATTAAAAAACCCCACCAAAACCTGAAAAGCAAAGAAAAGAAGGTATTGTGTTTGAAACTATTTTTGCCAGGCACTTCTGTCCTACAGGTTTCATGATTTGAGTGTTTGCCTATCCAAACTCCATGGTGGTGCACTTAAAGCATTCTTGTTGATGCGACCCACATGAGCAATAGTGGCAAAATTCAAAGTAACAAAGGATGAGAGAAAAAAAAAAGAATTCTGAAGTAAGATATAGAAAGAGACAGGAGATGTTGATGTTTCAGATCCTGCCTATATCTGAGTGTTTGAAATTCATAAGGATTCAGCTGACACTCTACAAACAAAAGTACATTTCCATTCACTCAATTTTTGAATTGTCTAGAGGTAACAAATTTCGCAAGCAGACAGTTCTTGGTATTAGTTCTATTGTATGTGGTGAATGCATACTGCACTCCCACACTTGTGCAGAAAAATTGAACATTCGAACAGAATCCAGTCATACATTTCAGATACATCTTCTGCTCGGTTCAATATATTCATTACTTTGTATTGTTCCATAGCCACTTTCATCAATGCACATGAACAGTGCAATAATAATGGCCAGTCTTCGCGAGCGAAGATCTGGGGAAGGTCTTTACACCTTCCAGCCTGCGCATTGGATTTTTTAGGTGAGACACAGTGTGCGTGGAACTGAGCCCACCCTTTAAGGTTCATCTGCCGGGGCCAAGCGAGCTTGGACGGTGGCAGTGAGGTCCTCAGGATGTAGATGGATTGCCTTTACGGGGCTAACAAGCTCCATCTGCCTGGGGAGTGTCCCTGACCGGGAATCAAACCCGGGTCTCGGCGGTGACAGCGCCGCGCCCTTAACCACTGGACCACCAAGGGTTCCCACAGTGCAATGTACAATAAAAGTAAATTGATATTCATGTGGTTATACAGATTTAATAAATCCCTAAGTAAACAGTTGCTGGAAATCCTTTGGAAGGGGTGAGTTTCTCATCAGACTGTGTGCAGATGGGGCCAGAGTATCACAAAGTATCTGCTCCATTCCCATGAGAAGCCGAGAATCTGCTTTAGTGGTTGCTCTGACTTGTGGGTTCAGGTCCAAAAAGAGTGTGGTTAGAAAGGGAACCACTGGACTGTCCTGTTCACCTCTGGGTGATGGCTGCTTGATCAGGTTGCCCCATGCGTGGATTTCCATGCAAATCCAAGAAGAGCAGGCTCTCTCAAGGAGTTATTGCAGGCTACCTGCAAACCAGTGTTGAAGAGACTCCCACTCACACCCTCATCTGTTCAGCACCTTTGATGCCACCAAACCAGTCTGAGCACCTCTCCCAAGCAAGCAACACTGCTGGGAAATGTCTTACAGCCATCAGCTTTGGCTGCTGTGCTGAATCTGAGCAAGGATGGAACACCCAAATCTCAGGGACCTCAGTTCTGGTGGCTTCCTGGAGAAAAAAAGATTGTCAGGAGAGATTTATTGACTATAAGGAAGAGTGCCTGCCTGGAGTTGGGTAATCAAAAACTTTTGCAAAAAGATACCTTCTGAGTGACCACCAAAATAGCATGTAAGTGAATCAGATGTGAGGAACTTTCAGCAGAAGATTGCTGCCTCTGCCCCGTTTTGGTTGGGAGCTGTATGCAAGATTTGTGGGGTGACTGGTGTTTCAAAGGTTGTGTTTGGCCACAGCTCCACTTTGACTGCATGGCAGAAGGCCATGTGGTAACTTCTGGTAGACTGCTGATAGGGGTGAGACAGACAAGCTCTTGGATGCTGTCTTTGTTTACTGACATTATGTCTCAGAAGGTGGGACCTCCAATGGAACAGAAACCCTTCCCTTCTCCTTAATTTATTTCCCTCCCCCTAAACTATGAATTTTGTTGAAATTAGGAGGCATCTGAGTGAAGTAGGAAAATAAATGGTTTTACTAAAAAACTAAAATCTAAAATCTAAAATTCTCAAATCTAAGCAGTGGGAGCAAGTTGTAAGTCAAAAGAGCCTGGGAGCACCCACTCTTGAGTTTCTGCATAATGTTTTGCCACAACAAAATCTCATTATACTTGTCTCACCCCTTACTCAGCATTCAGGACCCACCTTTGCCACAGGCATCACTGACTAGACAATAGCCTTGTGCCAAGGGTTCCCATAGAAACCAGATGGCTCAGGACTTTAGCAAAATTGGGCCACTTCTGCCAGGTAACTTATAATTGGAAGCACATATATCCAATACCATTTCAGGTTTGCTGGCATTAAAATAAGACAAAACCATTTCTAGAGGAGTTGGAAGCCAGTTTTAATTTAAAAATCTTCTTTCACAGTAAGACATACCAAAACAGACAATACAATTTCCAGCTCATAGTTGAAACCAAATGTTGTGTCCGATATGAATTTTTCCCCCTTTGTTTTCATCCACTGGATGATAGAAGATCAAAAAGGAATTTCTTTCAAAACAGAACATTTATCTTCCTGCGTCCTTATTTTTCTTCACAAGGGATTTGAGTTTGTGTGTTTAGTGTTGTGTTACTGTAGTAAGGACTGTAAGAGGTACTCTTACTGTACAAGATGATGGAGGAGATCATCAGGCTGGAGAAACCCAGTAGGCTTTTGTATATCAATTGATAAGGCACAGACCCCTGACTTTTTTCATGTTTTCTCCTCTCCCTGCTGAAGTGTTCCAGCTTAAAAGCACATGAGAAAATTTAGCTTCCTTGAGGCTTGTTGCTTTTTGACATATGAGAGGCCATGAAGGGACTGGCTTACATTTCTACTTGTAGCAAAAGGCCCAGCTGTTGTTTACACCACAGTTGACACAAAGAGGTGGTTCTTCATAGACCATGTAGTTAAACTATTTGATGCTAGACACTGTACAACTTAAATGGTGTCCAATCACAGCTTCTCTTGTCAAAAATCCTTCCAAAAAAATTCTTCTTAAAGGTAACTACACCTGGGAACTGTTAGCCCTATGCTTTCAACTGTGAGCCCCTCCACCTGATTTGGGACAGTTTACCATCTCTCACTGCACAACAGCCTGGAGAAACAGCTTTTTTCACCTCCAAGCTTGGCATATCATACAACTGAAAGTAGAAAATGGGTTTTTATTCAAATGTGAACATTTTAATTTATGCATCTGATAGTACGCTGTAATTAAATTATATTCCCATGGTGCCTCTAACAACAGAGTTGTGGTAATACAAATTATTAGTAACTAACTCTAATTAGATCATTTAGCAAATGGCAAATTCCAGATGAATTAGTTGTCCAACAGAGTCTGTGGTGAGGAAAGACAAGGAGGAAAAAGGAAAAGCTAATTTGTGCTGGGGTGAAATGAAAATAACAGGAAATAGTTTATTAAGAGAACTCTCCTGCCAAAGAAAACAATAATGCAATCTTAAAAGATGCTCTGGGTCACAGTTATCAGCCTGCAACTCAGTTCTGAGAATATACTCCACTTTGACATGTCATACCCTGCCCTGAGTCCCTACCAAATGCTCATGCCTCTTATTATGTTTTGATGCAGAACTAAATAAAGGCTCAGTACAGCAGCACCCACAGAGTGCCTTCAGCCAAGGAATATTCCTAAGCTGTCTCCCAGCTGACAATTGCTTGAAGATAATAAGTGATAATGGCACTTCACTACACTCCCTCAAAGTACCAGTGGCACTTTGGTGTGGGAATTTGGGAATGGGTTCCTAACCAGTTCCTCCCACTAATCTCCAGGTAACTGCAATGTTGCATAGACAACTTTGAGCTGCAGAAATGTCTGGAATAGGAAGACCCAGGCGTCAAAAGCAATTTGAAAATGCACCTGGGCATGGGACTCAGGAAAGACAGCATGGGTCACAAGAAATGAAAGGAAGTATCTTGATGGTGCTGCAGACTTTTCTCCCAAGGCTTCCTCTCTAGCCATCAGAGAATCACAGCCAACATGTAATTCAGAGTAATTCCAAGCATTAATCTCTTGCTCTGAATTTCCCTCTGGAGGCACTGATTTCTTTCTATTAACTACTCAGGAGTCAGAACGGACTAAGCCTCCTGCCTCCATAGTCCCTGAATAAGTCCAATGTTCTGCTGCAGCAGGTCCTAGAGATACAGGCTCTGTATCCATCTTCAATTCAGCTCTAAGGATGATGTACGAGCACCTGAGAAACACGAGAGCTTAGCAACTCTTTGTAAAAGTTTACAGTTTAGGGTATGGTGAGATCCCAAAGGCAGAAAAAAGGCCACTGCCTGTTCCAGAGCTGGATCAGCTGAGGGCATGGTGTCTAACCTTCAAAAGAAGTTGGATGTAAGGACTGGATGGGAACCAAAGGCTTGTGCAGCATGGGCTGCACAGTGGGAGTGTGTGTCTTGGTGCCTGCAGCTTCTCTCCTGAGGGCATCACTGTGGAGCAGCTCCAGAGTGTCCTCCCTGCCATGAGGTCCCAGCTCTGTCCAGCACATGTCCCATCTGCCAGCAATGAAGTCTTTTTTTCTCTGAGTTTCTGTTTTTTGCTCTAAATGTGTGGAAGTAGCCTCTGTGAAAGGAGAACAGGGAAAGAGAAGAATAGAGAAGAAAGACATAACCAAAGGATTCAGCTTAGAGCCTCCTTTTTCCCACACAGATCACTCTCAGACCCCTGCTGTCAGGGTTAGGTCTTCCCTTTCAAACTTGGGAAGTATTTAGGACAGTGGCAGAGTATGTGCTTTCAAGGATAGGTTACTCAATGCAGAGGGCTTAGGACAGTTGTTCTTCACAGGACCATAGAGAATTTCTCTACCAAAAAATGAAGTATAAAAAGTTCTGTGAACCAGACCTCCTATATGATAAGTAATATTGCAATCTGAACAGTTCTTTCTAGCTCAAAACAGAAAAATATTGCACTTTGACAGTTCCCTCAAAAAGCCAAAGTATTTTTAACAATATCAGTTTTGATCTAATTACAAATTCAGTAAAAAAAAAAAATTGAAGATGTGCTCTTGCCAGCTGGACTGCAGCTGAATCAGTGTCAAATATTTTAAAGACAATTTCGAAAGACAATATCCTGTATGGCCTCTCAAAAAGGTCAGTCTGAAATATTCTGTGGTTGTGAAAGGGTTTCACTTTTTATTTTCTCAGTTATAAAATGTCATTGAAACCAAGATCTTCCTGCAGCCAGGCATCCCTTTTGATTAAATTGTATTTTCTGATGAAAAATGTTCTGAGCAGACACAAAATGATTGTTACTGTATGCCAAGAGTATGCCAACAGGTTCCTTTCTTGGAGGGCAACAGGAAAAGAGAGGTGTGGTAAATTGTCAGACTTGCTACAGAGTTGTTTAAGTCAGTGTCAAATTGATGATGCTGGTTGAGAAAATTATGAACAGGGCCTCTCACTGATCCTGCACCTGGCTTGTCCAGAGTGAAGGGGAGTCCTCACATCCTGATGTTTCAGGGAAGCACAGAGGAGAACCCACACCAGCCGTAGGCCTCACTCCCACTTTACCTTGCATAACAAGGTTTGTTGTAAATCTGGTCCTTTAGGGAGATCAGGATGAGCACAAAGATGCTCTGGTCAGGGTCAGGCAGCCTTTACTGCTGCCTTAGTGGGTGGAAGAAGATCAAATCGATTATTCTACCTTTTCTATGAACTACAAATTCTGACCGAAAGAAACCAAGGCTCTTTATAATTCCTATTTGCATATTAACTTTCACATCCCTTAGAATACAAATGAAAAGAGAACATGTCTTACATGTATGACCACATTCACCAACAGCCTACTTATGACAGACATTAATCCACCTCTTTGAGAAGGGCCAAAATTATTGTATAAAAGAAGGGGGGTTTTCACAACAAAGACAAGAGAAAAGAAAAAGAAAGAAATGAGAAGGAGAAAAACATGTCTGCTTGCTTGGGGTCAGTCAAAGGACTGTGTCTCACCTCCTCCACCGAAGGGATACCTTTAGGTGAGATTTTGTGCCTCTAACTGCATTGGAGCAGATTCAGGAATATTTTAATCCATCTATTTATCGAATAGACCTTTGTTATATACCCTCTGTCCTAACACATATTCACACGCTGCAGTTAGGGTAATTATCACCAGCAATTCTAGATCTGCTCTCTTTTTGCTTCAATAAACTACACTATTCATATATCTGGAATGCGCAAGTTCTTACTGAGCTCAGCCAGACCAATAGTATAAGTAAATCACACTATTTGTGCATCTGTGATCATGAAAGCTCTTATTGAACATGAACAAACTTGTAGTGCTGAATTGGTAATAATGAGAAAAAAATCCTGGCTGTATCTAGCTCCTCAGATCTCTGAGGGCCAGCAAGGGGGGTTTATTTTGTCTCAGATTTCTATAACCTTAAATCAACAAGAGGTTGCGCTTTTTTGGTGTTTTTTTTTTTTTTTTTTTTTTTTTTTTTTTTTTTTTTTTTGTTGTTTTGTTTTGTTTTGTTTTGTTTTTGTTTTTGTTTTTTATGATTTAACAAGCCAAGGTTGCTTGAAAGTTACTGGTAAGAGTTCACAGACAAGGCCCTAGACATGGTCAAATGAACAAATTAATCTAATGAAATAATGAAGGAAGGACGTTGTATTGGGTAAACAAAAATACGAAGAAATGGGAGAAGATAAATTTGTGTCCAACATTTAGGGTGGGAGAAGTTCTCTAAAGGCCTATATATCATGATGGAAAGTGATTTATCAAGGTGTTTGCCAGACCCCCAGAATGGAAAGCAACCTTGCCACAATGCATACACCCACCACTCTACCTGAACATGTAAAAGTTTATTGACATATTTGCTAAACCAAGGACTACCTGCACCTTCATGCTTGTCTTTTTTTTTTTTTTTTTTTTTTGTGGTTAGAGAGGGTGTCCTCAGCTTTGATTTGATGAGGGAAGGGGGCATAATAAGAATTTGCAGTATCCCAGTCTTCTACCATATTCAATGCTAATCCACATTCTCACAGCTCAGGTCACCTAATTACTTTCAGATAAGACTTTTTTCTGCAACTTCTGCTTAACTGTTTTCAGAACTACCACTGCTAGGTGTCATATTAAAAGTTCTTTTCCTCTTGCATACCAGCGTGTTCAATCTTCATGAGATGTTTTTGGTTATTTTATGATTTAGTTTTGTGTTTGCCATTGGGTATCCACAACATTTGTTCCTTGCATACCTGTGTCATGGGAATTTCTGGGGGCTTCTGGAGCCAATCAACCCTAGGACTACTACTCAGAAGCACAGGAAACTGGGACTTGGCATTCCCAGCCTTCTGACTGAAATCCAACAGATCAACGCCATCTAGCTTTCCTGTGTATCACAGAGGAATATAAATCAATAGCAGTGACAGAAAGGCCCAGAGAGTCACGGTGAATGGCATTGTATCCAACTAGCAGATGGTCTCAGGTGGTGTTCCCCAGGGCTCAGTATTAAGGCCAGTCCTGTTTAATATCTTTAACTATGACCTGGATGAGGGGATGGAGTGCACCCTCAGTAAGTTCACAGATGACACCAAGTTGGGCAGGAGTATTGATCTGCTGGAGAGTAGGAAGGATCTGCAGGGGTATCGAACAGGCTGGATCAGTGGTCGAGGCCCGTGGTATGAGGTTTGAACTGCCAGATACTTGGGACACAACCTCATGCAATGCTAACAGGCTAGGGGGAAAAATGGCTGGAAAGCTGCCTGGTGGAAAAGGACCTGGGGGGTACTGGCTGACATCTGGCTGAACATGAGTCAGCAGTGTGCCCAAGTGGCCAAGAAGACAAAGGGCATCCTGGTTTGTATCAGCAACAGTGTGGCCAGCAAGACCAGGGAAGCGACTGTTCCCTGTATTTGGCACTGGTGAGGCCACACCTCAAGTGCTGTGTCCAGTTCTAGACCCCCTCACTGCAAGAAACACACTGAGGTGCTGGAAAGGTGCTGGAGTCCAGAAAAGGAAAGTGAAGCTGGTGTCGGGTCTGGAGTACTCCTCTGAAGAGGAGTGGCTGAGGGAACTGTGGATGTTTAGCCTGGAAGAATGGAGGCTTCAGGGTGACCTACTGCTCTCTACAACTACCTGAAAGGAGGTTGTGGTAAGTGGGTGTCAGTCTATTCTCTCAAGTAACAAGTGACAGGACAAGAGGAAACAAACAGCCACAAAAGTTGCATGAAGGAAGGTTTAGATTGCATATTATGAAAAACTTCTTCACCTAAAGGGTTGTCAAGCACTAGAACAGGCAACTCAGGGAAGCGGTGGAGTCACCAACCCTGGAGGTATTTAAAAGATGTGTGGATGTGGCACTTAGGTATATGGTTTAGTGGTATACTTAGCAGTGCTGGCTTCAGTTGGATTCGATGATCTTAGAAGTCTGTTCCAACCTAAATGATTCTATGATTCTGTGAAAATTCGTGGAACATGGACGCTGATAAGACTCTTCCTTTAACCATGCATGCTGGAAGATACTGAAGAAAGAGAACGATGCAGTAGTTCATACTCAATTTCTCATCAGGGATGGACCACCTAGACAGTGGGAATGGGGTTGATTTTTCTATAGACCATTTTATTTTAACTTCTCATGTCATACCTTTTTGTTTGAGTAGTCTACCTCTGCCAGTAACAGCTGGGGACACTCCCAAACACGCTTGTTGTGGTGCAAGGAGGTGATTGAGCACAGTGTGTGCTTTAGAGAGCTCTGAGACCTTCGAGAGAGGCTCTTTGATTCCCCCCCTCCCTCACCCCCCATTTTTTTGCTGACTGTATTTTTAGTAGTATTTTTGCATGCATGTATTTTTATGTTTGTAGTAATTTTATCTATGTTCTTTCTAGAGTCCAAGATGGCTCACTTCCATGGTGAGGTTGTTACTCTGTCACAGCTTTTAAGTTGTTTATAACCAAAGAAATTTAGTAAGAATACAAGCTGTTGCTTCATAAATCTCTTTTTGAAAAAAAACCTCTATATTACTTATCCTATGTATTGGCTTATTTGAGCATTTATTTATTTCCTATGATCAGTCTTGCCTCTTGAGTATGTCTCAAATGAGTAGAAAATAACAAATATGCCAGGACTGTAATATATCTTATTAAAATGTAATGGATAAACCAGTTCTAGAATGAAGAAATGTAGCTCTAGTTGTAAATGTGAGTCATTCACAACCCCATGGGTGCTCCAATTGTGCTTCAGTTTTGGGGAAATTCAGAGAGCAGAGTTACCACTTCTTCTGGGGGAGCACCTGCAAAAGTGGTGACAGCCCACATGCTTTTTTGTTTTTTTTTTTTGCTTTGGTTTGCACATGGAAAATTAGTTTCTGTGGGCCATGCAGCAGGTTTGTGGAAGATGAGAGGCTGAGAAAGCAGGCGGTACCCTGGAGGGCAGAACTGCCTTTCTGAGAGACCTGGGCAGGCTGGGGAAATGGACTGATACAGACATCAGGAAGGTCAACAGAAGCAAATGTGAAGTTATGCCTCTGGGGTAGAATGATCCCATCTTGTGAAGTGTGTAAGGTAGCTAACCAGCAATCAGCACGTGACTGCAACACAGGAGACCTTGGCTGTAAAAGCAAAGAGTGCAGTGAGCAGTGCGAGAGGGAGTAATTAGAGTGATTATAGTGCTACTAGTGATTATAGTCTCCTCTACTTGGGACTGGTGAGATCTCACCCAGTCTGGGTCTCCCCACTACAAGAGAGAGAGGAACAAACTGGAATGTGTCCAGTGGAGGTCACCAAGGTGGTTACGGTCCTGAAGCACAGGGCATTGAGCAAGCAGGCAGCCAGAATGGAGACCAGACAACAGGATGACTTCAGTCAGCTGGTAGACCGATTAGACGGGTTGCCAGTCCCTGAAGGCTTATCAAAACAGACAGTGAAAATCCATGGACAAGCTGGACCCGCCTTCCTAGGGCTGGGTCCTTTCCACTGTAAAACAGTGAGCAGCACGCTGCTAAGGATGTCATGTCACTTCCATGCATGACCACCAGTTTGCCTCAGTGTGAGCAAAATATGCATTGGGCAAGGATGGCAGGGAGCAAAAAGTAGCAAACAGCTGACTCAAAGCATATAGCAGGAAAATAGCAAAGCTTAGGGCTGTTGTCCATTTTTTAGGTGATTCTTTATCAGTTATTTTTATTGTTGAAATCCATTGCAGCATTCTCCTTGATGGAGAACAAGTCAGCTGATTTCCCCTTCAGTGTTTCACATGTACATATGCATGAGATATGGATATGTACATTTACCTGTATATATGTATGCACATATATGTGTACATATATAACACTAAGAAACAGCATGAGTCTGAAAGACTTGAAGAAATAACTAAATCTGAGAGGTATGCAAATGCCTGACCTTGTTTTGGAAAGGGAGGGCTACTGTAACGCATCTGGTACATCACTTCAGATGCTTTGTCTTTGCACAAGCATAGTTTGTTACTTGTCAGGAAAGTCTGTAGAGGGAGGGTTTTGACCACAGTAAAGGAGCCCACTATAAGAGTTATCAGCTAAAAGAAGGTAGCTTTCTCCCCAGGCACAACGCACTCTGGCTATGTGCAATCATAGATTGTAGTAAATTACAGATTCTCTCCTACCTCCCACCCCATAAAATCTATCTCACAGAGCTTTTCCCACGCCTCAGCTTCCTTGCACTGACAGCTGTACCCTGAAATGGCTAGAGCAGCCTGTTATAAGTACACTTGGACATGTTCAAAGAAGGAAACGTGATGGCAAGAAGGAGTAGCACCTACCTTCTGACAACTGTGTGTAGTGGGATCACCAGAGCTGCCTCATGATCAGTAAATAGAAACATGTTGTGCTCACCATACTACCGTAAACTGCAACACTGTAGGCAGGTCCTGCTTTCATTCCTTTGGCACAGCTGTGATCCCTGATCCTGGTGCCTGGAACACTGAGTTGCATGCCATGATGTCTGAAGGAAAACCACTGTTCTGTGCTGCATGGTGACCAGACTGCCTGAGGAACCACACTATCACAGCATTGCACTATCTGTGAGCAGCACCAGAGCATCCTTTGTGTTGGTCTGATACAGAAAGCAGAGTTGGTGCAATGTGCTGAAAAGGGCTAGGTTGGTTCAGCTGAGAAAACTAACACTGTTCTTGTAATCTGTCTCTGCCTCTGTCTTGGATTTGAAGTCACCTAAGCCAAGGATGCCTAATTGGACTGCATCTTGCCCTGAAGAAACCATGCACATAACAACCTCTTTAAGGGGCATGTTTTCTGCAAATACACACCCTGTGGTCTTGCATTGCTAAACAGGCAAGTGTAAACAACTCTGAGACAAATGAAGCAGCCTGAGTGTGTCTTCTTTGATACAGAGTGCACACTCTCTTTGTGCCCTTTCTCTCGGAGCAGTGATTTAATACAACTCTTCTGTTGCACTACTCCTTACAGGGTAGTTTATAGGTACTTAATTGCATTAAGTTGTTGGCTGCCTGTGAATTTCCTTTACAGCCCACCAGCTGGCATTCCCCAAACTGTGAAGGGTGTGTGTCAGCCAGTCCAGAGAAAGTAGTTGCTGCTGCTACTGCTGTTTCAGCCTTGGTGAACCATGATGCTCCCAAGCTATGCTTGAGCATATGCCTCTTGTTGCCTTAGCAGGGAGCTCTTGCAAACTAATTTTATGGTAGGTGTTGTGGAGAAGATGGGACAAATTCATTTCAGACTGACAGAGCAATAAAAAATGCTCAGGGCTAGGAAAATTCCCAAATGAAGGCACCAAGAATCAATGGAGGGATCAGGGAGTTATGAAATCCTGTCAGATAGCATATGTAATGTGTAACTAGTCTGACCCAGCACATTATTTGCTGTCTCTCTGTTCCCTTGAGCTCTGAGACTTTCACAAAAAGGGATTTTTTTTTTTAATTTCCTCTCTGATTCTCTAGCACTCCCCACGCATCTTTTGAGGTTAATTCCCAATGTGGGTATAACCTTCGAACCTGTGCAGTGGATTTTTTAGATGAGGCTCAGCATGCGCAGAACTGGTCCCACTCTTTACTCCTGAGGTTCATCTGCCAGGGCCTAGCAAGCTCAGAAGGTGACAGTGAAGTCCTCAGGACATAGGTTTAATTAGAGTATCCTTCTCTTGGTTGGATGGCCTTACAGGGCTAAATGAGCTCCATCTACCTGGGTTTGAAATTAGAGTTGTCCTTCTCCTAGGATGACTGCTGGAAGGCTAGTGAGCTCATCCTGCCCATGGACACATTTATCTGACCCTTGAGTTTTGACCTGTCTGGTATGGGAGACTCTACTGGAGGCATATGCCACCACCAGCACAGCTCGCAACCTCATAAGGGCATACAGGCCTCTCCCCACTGAAATAGTTTTCACAAGCCCTTCTCTCCCTACTTTTCCCTCACAGCTTCCTACACTCTAACCCAGGGACATTTCCTTGCCCTTAACACCCCTCCAAGATGCTATAATTCCAAAACAAACTGTTCCTGGGCAGAAGCCACAGGCTAGCCAAGTCCATCACATCCCACCCTCACTGCAACAATGCCCGAACAGGAGCGATCCCAGCATACCCCTGGGCAGGGCAGGCACACATGTAAGGAGTCCCTGCATCCACCTGGGGCTTGGGCACCCTCCACAGCCCCTGCCCAGCCCAAACTCAACTGACAACCAATTCCCAAAGACATCCTACATTATACGTTAAGTTCGAGCCATCGGTCCCTGGAATTTACAACTTGGTATTTTTCATTGTCGTAAATCTTAGCTATCACTACAACTTGTCATCTGGTTAAAGATGCCAGTGCCATTTGTTTAACACCTCCTAATTGAGCCAATGTGGCATAAAAGTCTCTCTTCAGAAAAGGCAATAATGTAAAACTACTACAAAAATGTAGTTTATGGGAGATTGGTTTCTCTCCTCCTTCTGGGATAACAGAGCTCTATTGTAAACTAAACAGGATCTCCCTGTATCCAAACACAGAAGGGTAGAGGACTCTGCTACCTAAAAAATTATGTTTATTTGAAATAAAGTTGCCATTAAGCAGAGAGAGAGCACAGAAGGAGCAATGGCTTCTGAATAACAGGTAACTTTAGGGGCAAGTTCAAACTGAACTGAATGGCAGGTGTGTTAACTCAGTTTCAAAAAACTGTTTTGAAAAAGGAAAGCACTCAGAGCAATTCTCTTGGTGTCTCTCTACAGAGAAGTAAGATTTCAAAGGTCTATATCTACCTGTCTATACTTCCTCCTTATTTCTTCCTATTCACAGCAGAGGTAGGATCCCTGTCTCTCCTCCCTGGTCTCACAACCCTTCCCTTCTGAAAGGAGGGATTTCAAACAGAGAATAACTATCAGCAAGAAGCTGCCAACAAAGAATAATGTTTGTCTATGCTGTGTTTGAGTGCTTTCTTAGCTCAACAATTTCATAGCAATCTTGAATAATAAATAATAATAATGGCCAGTCTTCGCGAGCAAAGATCCGGGGAAGGTCTTTACACCTTCCAGCCTACGCACTGGATTTTTTTAGGTGAGACACAGTGTGCGCGGAACTGAGCCCACCCTTTAATCCTAAGGTTCATCTGCCGGGGCCAAGCGAACTTGGACAGCGGCAGCGAGGTCCTTAGGACGTAGGTGGGTTGCCTTTAAGGCTAACGAGCTCCACCTGCCCGGGAGTGGCCCTGACCGGGAATCGAACCCGGGTCTCGGCGGTGATAGCGCCGCGCCTTTACCACTAGACCACCAGGGGCTCCAGCAATCTTGAATGGTGCGCCTCTAAACAACAGGACTAATTGTTATAACAAGTTATGAAGATATTCCTCTATCTGAATGATTTCCCAGTTCATACAGATTTGTATATTGTGGCATCACTCAGAAATAAAAACATCATCTGGACAAGGCAGATACATATACTGGTCTTTCTGCAAAATTTGCCTGAGTGCACAATAGGAAGTTCATGCCAAATTTATCATGCCCAATTTATAGGTGGGACCTGCTCTGACACAGAGAATATATGGAAAGATAATGTGACAGATATTTTTTTTCATATGTCTGAACCATTGGACTGTTTGTCAGCCCATAGCCTGTGGTGTTTTGGAGCTGGTACTCAGAAATCAAAGCTGATGGCGTAGTTTCAGCTGCAGTGGGTCACACAACTGTTCTCTGTGAATAAGAAGACACAAATCTTACATCTCTACCAAGTCTTAGAGCTTAAAAAACCTTGACTTTTGATTTCATTTACACATAGACTGTCCTCCCTTCTGCTGTTGAGAAAGTCTAGGAATCTCCCTATGTGTGTTTAAAAAGCTGTTTCCTTAATTTGCCAGCCTATGGTTTTCATAAACATCAAAGTCATAGACAGCCCAAGGTACCACTTTTACCTTTGGTTCTTGCTGTTCCTCTTGTTCTTGCATATCTTTTGAGAGCCCTTATCATGTTTCTCTCTGCTCTTTCTACCTGGACAGGACCTTACACATCTCCCAAGTTGATGCAGAAAGAAACACTGGTATGTAGTAGCAAAATTTATGTCCACAGCTGTCATTTTCCAGGGGCATCTCTGAAGACAGTGAGACATAAAGCACACCCAAAATTGGGCTAAGCCTCTCTCTCTTCAGAGAGGCCCAATACACAGGCAACCCCGAAAATATTTGATGTTCCTTATGTGTGTGTGAATATGCACATTCTTTGCAAGGTCGCCTGCCCTGCTCCTCCAGCTCTGTGAGGATCAAATCCTATCTCTGCTGCAATGGTCCCACAGTGTGCTGACCTGAGACTGCTGGCCCAGAACACACCACAAAGGTACAAGAAAATTTGTTTCAGGTGCTCAGGTAAAGGAAAGATGGATGCCAAAGCCTGTCTCTGCAACAGGGTGCTTCAGTGTCTCAGATAGGTGACCGTTTATAGCTGCCTCCTAGGTTCGGTGCGTTGAGGTGATATGAACAGTGTTTTGAGAACCAACGTTTAAAAAGGCAGCAGCTGAAAGGCTGTATCAGCTCCTCATAGCTCACTGTAGACTGAGCAGAAGATACTCCTGCAGGAAGAAAATCCTCAAGGCAAATGCATCTTCTTATAAGATGTGAGACAGCATGAGCTAATTGCATGTGATTCTTTGCATGTGGTCCTTCTTGCTCCTCTGCAAGGACCATGCGAGAAATGCCACATGGAGTACACTGCTGCCGCCTCAGTGAGAGCAACTACCCCTGTTCAAAGGCTGTTCCTTTGTTTCAGCCATATCACATTGCATTTGGCAATTCCAAAGCCTGAGCTAACATCACGTCAAATACTTCCTCTGCAGTATCTCCTTCAAATTACTCCTTTCTTCATCAGAACCTTCCTGACACTGAGAAGCAGACCTGTTGCACCCAGCTTCTAGAAGTACTTGCTCAGCAGAAGCTCAGATGTACCACTGTCATCACTGGCACTTTCTAGTCTTCATGCCATAGACTTAGAGCATTTGGATTTTCGGAGGATTGTATCTGTTCTGCCAGCAGAGATGCTGCAGCAGGCCATGCCAACATCACTTATCTTAGCAAGACACAGGTCGCTCTTCAACTCCTCACTGACTCACAGTCCTCAGTAAATAACCGTGCTGCAGATAATCAGCAAACTGGACATATACTAAGGCACAAAAGCTATCCATGGGAACTTCATCCCCAATGCCATAAGGCCCAGGTCCATCTTCCCAGGATGCAAGCCCCCTTTAGCTTTCTTCAGCCCCCTGGATTGCCATGCCAAGTGCCAGCTCCCTTTCACCCAGTGGGTTGCTCCAGCATGTGCAGCACAAGGCATCGACTTTCAGCCTGGTGATGCTTTCAGGAGCGCTTTTGCTATGTAGATCTTCCACACAGTGCTGTTCCTGTTTACTGCCTGTTGGAGGTTCCTGGAGACATGGAAGCTGTCAGTTCCCAGTTTGGGATGCTATTTTTAAGGCTGGATGCAAGGACCTCTACAGTATTTTTAAGGCTGCCCATCTGGGAGAGTTTCTTCTAGCTCCAGAGTTGGCTTTTACCTCTCAGGTCAATATTCAGACTGCACCATCATCATCAAAAATTATAAGGCAGACTCTTCAACCACAAGATTTGTTTCAAAATGACATTTTTAATATTTCTGAGCCTGTATCTGTATTTGCTAATTTTTTTTGAACTCCAGGTTAAAAGCAGATTAAGGCTAGGAAATATTAGCTCCTTTCCTTTTAAATGAATAATCTGAGGTTTTTTAATTCATGTGCTGCAAAGTTCAGCCTTTGAGAGAAAGACTGAATTTCCCATAGATCATGCATAATACACATGCATAAGGGAAGAGCATGTCACACATGGCAGTCCACTTCCTTGGCTGTGTGGGGTCTTTTTGTGCTGACCTGTGTGCCAAGGACAAAGCACAGGAACCCATGGTGAAAGCCAAGTTCTAATCAAAATGTGTTCCCTTGCCCAAATTATGAGACAGTCATAACAGTACTGCTAGGAGTGCAGCTGAGGGTGATGTGCCTCATGCTGCTGCTGCTCTACATTTCCCCTCCAGTCTTTGTGCTTATTTCAGATGGAAAATTAATAGGAAAGTACCCAGATGGTAAACTCTTCATTTAAGTGAAATAAATAATTACTATTTTCAGTCCTTTCCTGCTTGTTGGGTAAGGGCATTCCTGGCCTCAGACAAGGTTTTCTCTCATTGCCCACTGGAGCAAATATGGAGTGGGGACTCTAACTTGCCCTCTCACTACTCCCTTGCTTCAAAGGGAGGATTTTTCCATGGCACTTGCTAAAAACAAGATTGAAGGGGACAAGCCAGAGAACTGACTTCACCTTAATAGGGCGATGCAGCCAAAAACTGCATCTGCTGGGACCTCAGCTTTAGCAGTGGCTGAAGACGTATGAAGATGACTAGGAGTACATTGCCACTCTCCAGGCTTAGCCTTGAAGCCGAACAATTTGCCACCCAGTGAGGGTGGCATCCATGCCCATGGCAAGAGATTGGAACTAAATGATCTTTAAGATCCCTTCCAACTCAAATAATTTCACGGTTCTTTGAATTCAATGCAAAAGAACTGTCAGTTCTGCAACAGGTTTTTGGGTCCAGGTACAGTATGAGTTGGTCCATATTGGTACAGAATCACAGAATCATCTAGGTTGGAAAAGACCTCTGAGATCATTAGGTCCAACCTATGACCTAACACCTCCTTGTCAACTAGACCATGGCACTAAGTGTCACAACCAGTCTTTTCTTGAACACCTCCAGGAACAGTGACTCCACCACCTCTCTGGCCAGCCTATTCCACTGCCCAATCACTCTTTCTGTGAAGAACTTCTTCCTAATGTCTAACCTTAACCTCCCCTGGGTGCAGCTTAAGACTGTGTCCTCTTGTCCTATTGTTGGTTGCCTGGGAAAAGAGACTGATACCCACCTGACTACAACGTCCTTTCAGGTTGGTACTCAGAGGAACAGAGTACCTCTCCACCTAGCTGAGCTTGGGTTACTGGTACACTCTTGTCTAATGCTTCACATCCACCCAAAGTAAGTGTCACTCAGAGCAACAGTAGCTGTATTCCATGTGTTTTAATAAACTACCAGAAAAATATGTTTGGATGTGTTTGTTCTCCTCCCACTTAAGTAGGTCAAATTAAAACCAAAATAATACCAACCCCAAAACAGGAGAAAAAAACCTGTCCCAGAGCAAAGATGACACACAATACTGACTTGCAGGAAAAGGTCTTTGATGAAATTCATGGGTAAAGAAATTATGTCTGTGAAACACAGGGAGTAATAAAGTGGTTACTGATTTGATCGGTTTTCCTCCTATGTAGCTACATACGTATCTATGCTGATACACCCTCGGTGGGATAAAACGGTACTTCTGTGAGACAAAATAAAAGTTGATTGTGGGGAGGGAGTAAACAAGAAAATAAATATATCATTTCAGTCAGTGAAGTAAAGACAGCGCCCCTACAGTGTACCACTGCTCTGCTTTATCGAAGGACAGGTTTGTCCTGGACATGGCTATGCAGTGTCCCTGGTCCACAGACGAGCTGTGAACTCTGAATGGTCTCCTACACTGCTCTGTGTATGAGTAGGACCTTGGAAGTATATGAAGCATTCCTTCTTCTGGTTAATTTCCACACTTTAGTATGATTTTTAATTAAAAAATTTATTAGTACTTCAGTTTACATTTTTTCCCCCAAGTTTCTTGCACTGACTGCTGTGCAGGTCTCCACAGTAAGGCAGAGAAACCCAAATGAGCAATATGCCACAGGAAAATGCTGCTATCACAATGTGACTCGATGGAGGAATTAATTTTACAACAGATCTCATGTTCTTCAACCTTGCACTCAGTCTGTGGAGCCAAATCATGCAGTAACGTCACCAGTTCTTTACTGAGTGGACCTGTGGGTCACACCTTAATCCATAAAGAACAGAAGGAAAGAAATATAATTTTTATTTCCTTTTCTCCTCCCATGGAAACCTACCCCCCAAATACCACTCTATGCTGAGGTGTTTGCTTCATTCATAGGCAAAGGAGTCCTGCATTCAAAACACAGAAAAAGCCATAGTCTTCCTCCTGTTGTTATAATGCTCTTTCATAGAACCAGCCACTGTCCATGCTTTCCCACATCTCAGTGCCGTGCTTAACAAGCAAAGGACAAGCTCATGGTGGCTGCAAAGTTCAGGTCACCAAGAAGGTATTAAGAGAACAGCTCAGTTTGCCAGCTGCTTGCAAATGCTGTATTGCAAAGAAGGCAAAGGCAAAACACCCCTCTCCACACCTCCCCCAGCTTCCTTCCTTTTATTTTTTATTTTTTTCTTTCTTTATTTTTCTTTCTTTTTCTCTCTTTTACTCTTTCATTCTTTCCTTCTTTCTTGTACAGGGGTTCATGAAGAGAAGCAAGACTTGTGCATCACAAATGGTGGAACTAGGCCAAGCCCAGACAGCTTCCCACCCTACAGTAACGCACAAGCCCGTCTCATCTTGTACCTGCCCCCAGAAGGTGGTTTGCCTCTTGACCTTTTTGGAACATAATGCAGTCTGATCTGCTGGGGATTTCTGCAGTTCAGGTGCCGGGTGGCTGGTTCTCTCCCCTTTCCTGAGGCTCATAAATGATTGTTTTTGGACAGATAGGCAATAAGAGCCACGGCCACCCCAACGTAAATGCCAGTTCCAATTGTGATGGACAGGACAGCCAGGAAGAGTGCTCGCCGGGAGCTGGAACTTGCATGGTGGAAGTCCCCCTTGGCTACTGCTTTGTTTGTCTGCAAGAGATACAACAACAATAATGCAATATATTTATTTGTTTTACCTGGAAACGAAGACGTGATGCTAATTTCTTGGCTGAAATATGATCATGGGATATGAGAGTGAACTGGTTAGAAATCAGACATTTTTTTAGTCAGATGAGGTTATTTACACAATAGAATGGTGATGGAACCAGTGGCATCTCAAAAGAGGCTGCCATTTTTATAGGTCATGGTATGGTATCAGCAAAGGTCATCTGTCAGGCAGTAAGAGATCTGTCACCTACAAGATAGGCCTTGTAGAAGCATATGAGTTCCGTAAGTTCTGAGACAGTCTTTGTTCCCTCATTACAATGAGTGAGGAATTCACAATGTTTAATTGTATATCTCCACAAACACTCAATTTACTGGGACAGTTTCTTCTTCAGTGTCATCTATTATTCTATTTTTGTTTCTTTATTTTTTTTTTACTACCTTGCTACTCAGAGCAATTTATAGCAGCCAAATGGCAACCTTCCACACTGAAAAAAAAGCTTATGGCCTTTCTGCCAATGCCTTTATTAAGAGAACTGTCTCTTTGCATTCATCAACTAATTTTTTAAGCTTTATAAATGTTTCAGGCAGAAACAATGTCAAACAACACATATTAAAGGAGAGAAAGAGTAGGCTGCAGGCTGGAGGTAAAATATAATTTTAAAACAGCAAAATATAAACAAGACCAGGCTTACACCTGCTGTCATGTCCTTTAGTTTAATTGGGGAAAGCATCCTACTCACTTTGCAAAGGATGTCCAACCAAGCCTCTCAGCAAGGTGATCAAGGATTTCATGAGCTTCTTGTCTGGGACTTGTAAACACTCAAAAGAGAAGCCCTTTCCAGAAAAATTCCAGGGGCTTTGGGGATCATGGATATATTTGTTAGGGTTGCTTAAAAGGCAAGGAAAGCAGAGAAAGCTTTAGAAAGAGCTGGTCATTCAGTTCTTCTCAAAGATTGGCTTCAGGCACCTGCTGCCCATCACAGCACTAGTCTTGAAAAGAAAGGCTCCTCCTTACTGAACTTAGGTCAGATTTGTCAGGCTCAGGTAAATGCACAGCACTGGAGCTATTTGAGCTTTTGGATAAACCAACGTAAACAGTTTCAACCCCCCAAATTGAGGGAAAGTTTAAAAATTATGAACATTTGAATTTGACATTTCTGAAATGTCATATTATTATGGAAAATTCTGCAACATTTGGGTTCACCTCTTTAAAATGAAACTTTGTAGAGTTTCAAACCAGCATTTTTTCACTTAAAAACAGATGGAAACTCAAAGGGAGAATAAAACATTAATCAAAATGTCAAATAAAGAGAAAATTTGACAGTATGTCTTGCTTGCTTCAATAGAAGAGGTTGGATCTACCAAAAATGGTGAGTTGAGCAACCCAAAGGGATTCAGAAAGCTGATTTGTCAAATACTAACAGTCTTTTTCCTGATAGGATCTTCAACCTAGTGACAAATGTGCTCAAAAGAACAGGATTTTTTCTTGATAAGCTCTCTGAGGACATCCCTGAGCTCTGTGAAAGTATTTGACCTATGGTGAAAACCCAGCCAAAACTACGTGTCTTGTATTAGTCACATACTTATGAACTTGTTGAATTTTGCATCTCCTGACACTATGATACAGCATGATTTTGCTTGGAGAACAGGCCTGTGCTTCCATATAAATTCTAGTTTCCAACAAATTATCTAAAATGAGTGTATTTTAGTGTATCTTAACCTAATGCATATTTTGTGATTTAGCAAAATCAAATCCCTCCTATATGGAATTTTGAGTGTAGACTGGTAAGGGCAGATGGGAAGGATAACCTTATATTACTCCTTTATTCTATTTAGAAAGCTTTCCATTGAGATGGAAAAACCATCCACACAGAAACCATCCTCCATCAGTGAAAGGTTAGTATGAAAGGATTTGCTTATCAGTAAGAAAATTCTTTGATGCTATTCCCTAATTAGCAAAAAACATTACATACTACTCAATGTCACTATATGCAAATTACAGCATTTCTGCAGATTTAAGCTAAATGGATCTGAAAAGATTTGTACCCAAAATACAACTGAGGCCAAATTTAATAGTTTAGCATCTGGCAACTTAATAAGCAGTTTTTATTTTTATTTTTTTTTCTTTTTAAGCAGAGATCAGATCTTTGGGATATCTGTTCACTTTGAGAAAGTCCCTTAGTTTTGATACTAATCCAACTACTTACGACCCAGTCCACTTGATGCCTGACACAAATGGCATTCTGTTGGGTGTTTCCACATCAGGGATGTCTGTGCTCTAGCAAAATCCATGGGACACAAAAAATAGCTTGCATAGATCAGAAAGCTAAGTCAGACCCAGTTTCACCAGCTTTTCCTTGGTGTTGCAGAAAAGGTGAAAACAATGGTCACTAAATCTAAAAAGAAACCAGGACATCTCAGTGAAGACACTGGCCAGGCTGTTTCCTTGTCTTCATAGTGTTTCAGGTACTGTTAGCTGAAAGAAATACTTATCTGCTTAGAAAGACTGCCCACTTAAGCCTCCAATCAAACAAGTACAGAGAGTGATATCTTTTGCAGACCCTCTTGATAATTGCTGCCAACCACAACAGTGGAACCTCGGGCATCAAAACAAACTCAGTCTTCATTTTTTGACACATTTTTGGTTCAAATGAGAAAGGTTTTCGCCATGGTTAAAATTCCTCAGAAATAGAAAAAAACCCAATTTTAGCTAATTCAAGAGAAAAATGTATTTCAGATAAAAATACTGAGTAAGGAAAATACCCCACCAAATTTCAGTTAAAACTGTGGTCACATTTATGGTGTGCTAGAATGTAAACTAGTGTAAGGCAGGATGTGTGAGTTTTGTGTTGTCCCTCCTTTCACTAAACAGCCCTGTCCTGAATGTCCACTATGCCTGTGATGAACATGCTCTGTGCTTCCTGGCTGCTACAGATATCGCAGTCTACACTGATGCCTCTCCTGAGATGACAAATCCCTGCACCCACCCAGGAGTTTCTGCTCATTTAGAGGTGGGGATGGGTTAACATGCACCACCAAGACCCTTGCCAAGCCTGTGGGGCTGATGTGCCAAACAGTACAAGGCACTGTTTTTCCAGCCATTCATACCCAGCCAGGAAATGGATTTCTGTAAGCTCCTCTTTCCAGACTCAGCTGTGGACTCACTACAGCAATTCTGGGTTTTGTTATTTCTTTGCCCTGAAAAGCAAAGCCCCAGCTATTAATACTATTGGACTGAATACTCAGCTGGTATTAACTAACTATTCATGCTTGATTCTGAAGAGTAGTGCAACCAGGACTGGTGCAAGAATGAAGATCCAAATGCCCTACTAACAAAAGGCTTTATTCACTACAGCCTTTTCAAGCTAAGTGTCTCAATTTAAGTAATAAGGAATACAAACAGCTATTCTAATGGGTTTGAGAGTGGCTGCAAAAGTTAGAGCTCTTCCTAATCAAAACTGTATAATCTGTGGAGTTTTACAGTACTTTTATCCATTCACTTCTTCCCTTCCCTGGTGAGACTGTGGCTTGTGACTGATGAACTAATTCATACAGTCCTTGGGTAGCAGCGGGACCAACAGATTTGATAAACAGAGCAGAGGACAAGTGCAAGACACGGGATGAATTACAAGTGGGGGATAATTCATGGCATAGCACTAGGCAAGTTTGCTCCCTGCACAGCCAGAAGACAAGGTACTTTTCTTGCAAAAGGTTTGTGTCTACCCCTGCCCATTTATTCCCCTTGGCCTGTGTACTCTGGATGCCCAGACATGACTATCAACTTGCCAGATATGGGCACAGGCTGTGATGAAGGCTGTGTACTACCAAGTTGAGAACAGCGACTTTAGCTCATACCAGTCTCCAATCAATCCTCTCTTTATAGGCTTTGGAAGTAAGTCAGGAAAGTGAGGACGGATGGGGGAAAAAGGGGTAAGGAGGTCTGGAAGGATTATCTTCTTTTGTTTAACTAACATAATGAATGTCTTGTTTAGAAACACTTTCAAGGAACTTCTCTGGAGTTTCAAGTTGAGCTTCTGCAAAACATATTCATCATGTCTCTGGGCTGCATATTTTACAGGCAGACAGAAGATGAATATGGTACCTCCAAGCTGCAAGGCCAAAAAATTCTGTTGCATCCCACAGTCACTTATATATCATATTCACAAAATACCTTCACAAAAACCACACTATCTGGAAACAGAAACATACTGAACACAATTATTAATCCTGCCTCACCTCCCTAAAGCTGGAGAGCAGGACTGGCTCCATGTAGGATGCAAAGAGGGTATCCCAACCCCTTTGGTCAGGTGATAAAAGGTTTTCTTTTTGTTTCAGGGGAAGAAATGGCCAGCAGCGATACAGAGGTTCCAAGCAGCCACTAGCCAGACTCTGAGTCTTAGTTCTTCAAGTGACATGCAAAAAACGACCACAGAATTAAGAGCAACTCATACAGAAGATGTTTCTGCTCCTGTACAACTTCTAGTCAAAAGCTCTGCCTACTCTTTTTAATTTGCCTAACTTGCATTTCTGCTGATCTCAGATTTCTGGGCAATATATTCCACGTTCAGGCTTACACCACTTATTTTCACTTATGGTAAGAAAAAGACTCCAGTCCTTGCTAAAGATATGGATGGGTAAAAAGTGAAGTCAGGATCTGACCATGAATGACAGCAGAGAGGTGCTAGTCAGCTGGAGAAAGCATGGGGCCAGCAGACACCCAGCTTAGGGACTGGGACATGGCAGAAGAGTTTTCAGTCCTGAGAAGACCATCAAAGGGATTGTGGAGTCCCATCAAACAGCTCCACAGGCAGAAATGTTGAACTAAATGACAAACTGTTCTTTGCTTTGTCAGGCATTTGGAAATTCCATTATGCCCACAGTATACCAGAAACTTCAGTATGTGGTAACTTGCCTTTCAGGCAGCAAAGAGGTCTTCTGGATGTTTCTGTCATTTCTGCTGGGAAGATGGCCTAGGAAATGGC